TCTAAATAATCCTGTGAGTCTTTAATTGCAGTCTGGAGCAGGAGAGGCAGGGAGTTAAATTAACTTTTGGTAGACTGAGGCAGCCAGGAGCATGTTTTGTTAAGGTGCATGTCTTAATGGAGCAGACAAAAGCTGGCAAAACTCAGCATTGCTCTGGTGAATGCTCTGGTCCCACAGCCTTGGGGCTGCAGAGGGATTCTCTGGGACTGGGAGCTGTTGTGCTTCGGGCTTAGCAGGGCTGCATCCCTGGCTCCTTGTGTCTGACTTCAGCCTCTGCATCCTGACAAGCTCAGAGCAGGAGCCACAGTGGTTGTTTGGCCCAGCTTCAATGTCTCAAACCGTGGCAGATCACCCCTGCCTGGCTGCAGGAGGACAGAAATGCAGGGCTTGGGGGGCAGCTCTGTGACTCCTTCCAATGGCACTGCAGGGGATTCTGTCCCCAGGGATGTCCCTGGAGCTGTGACTGCAGCTGGTGGGAGCTCCTGGCACAGTGCATGGACATAGCCTGGCACAGACAGCAGGACTTGATGATCTTAGAGGTCTTTCCCAGCCCTAATGGTTCCATGAGATGCTGCAGCACCACCCCTCAAACCAGAGCAGGCAACCCCAGTCAGAGTCATCTGCAGGAGGAAAAGCACATTCAGAGGTACTAATTGACAGCAGCAGTGATTAGTTATTAAGGTTTGCTTAGTCACTACTGTGTGGGCTCTGAAAATGAATATGAGGGTTTAAAGCAGTGGGACTTTCCGTTTTCTTAATATAATCTGGATGTGCTTCAAGCTCCTGCCAGCAGTTCCCATGGATAAATTATATAGTGTGGGTGGGCAGGAGAGTTCCCCTGTCCTCATCTCCCTGGGATGAGCCAGGAGAGGTCTGCAGCTACCTGGCTTGCTCCTGAGGGTGCTGGAGTCCCCTCTGATGGCCTGGCAGCTCAGGTGTCTCCCTCCTCTGCTCTTCACTGCATAGAAATTAGACTGGATAGTATGAAAAGATTCTTTAATCAAGGTATTGTCCAGCACTGGCACAGCTGCCCAGGGAAAGGGTATCCCAGGGATTTAAAAGCTGTGGATGTGGCACTTGGGGACATGGGTTAGTGGTGGCCTTGATGATCTTAGATGGCTTTTCCAACCTAAACAGTTCTATAGTTGTGTGATTCTAAAAGCAGATTTCACTAACAGGGTTCCCAGGTGATGAGTGTTGGATCCATCCTGCCCTGTTCCCAACCCTGAGCAGGGAGGCAGAGATGTTCCCCATCTAAGATGTTCCCCACAGTCCCTCTGGGCTTGGGATGTGTGGGTGTTAATGCTCAGGGTAAATACATGGGGAAAAACAGGGCTTATTTTGCCTGGGTAAGTGTTTCTGAAAATAGTAGTGTTTCTGAAACCCTGGAGAAAATCCTAGGGACAGTCAAGTTCCAGGGGGAAATTGAGGCTGAGAGTTGTTTTTATTGTTAGTCCTGTAACCACAAGAGAGTGAATCTGAATGGCAAACTGGGGACTCTTGGCAAAGAGTAGGAATTAAAGCCTCTCTGTATGAGAGAATGGAGAGGATGATATAGTAGGATCCTGGAGGGATGTGGGGGATAAAGGAACTGAGAGAAAAATAACAACCAGCATTTTAACTCTGAATACTCTGTGCCATTCTGCCCCTCTGTGCATCTGGAAAGGGAAACAGCAGAGATGGAAAAGGTGTGAGGAAGAAGGAGGATCACCAAAAGGATAAATTAACATGGATAACCAGAGGATAAATGGATAAATGGGATTCTTTGCAAGGAATGACAGCAGAGATCTTGTCCAGAGCCCCAGGAAGATGTGCTGGGGGAGTGTTGCTGTGTGATGTGCCATCTGTCAACTTTTCTTAGAAAAATGTTCTTGGTCACTGCCAGCCTCACAGAGCCAACATGACCTTTGTTCTGGCCCAAGCTGCCTCACCTGATTACAGTGAAAAGTGTTGCTTTTTCATGAGTCCTTGAGCAAATCACTTCCTCACCCTGTGCCTGAGTGCTGGTGTTCACAGGTGGGACAATTCCAGTGCTCTGTGGGGGCTCATTCTTTTAGGTTCTTTTGGGCAGATACTGACTCTTCTTTGCATGTTTGTAGAGTGTTTGTGTGTGCATGTGTGTGATCTCAGGTGGCCTTTCAGCTCTCACAATAATAGAAATTAATAACAAGAAATTCAATCTCTTCCTCCTGTACTAGATTTTGCTCATTAAATGTTCACAGTTGCTGGGACAAATTGAAGCCTGGTAAGTGGAAGGCTGGGACTGGATCAGCAGTGAATTGGTGCAGGCAGGAGAGTGAGGAAGGGAAGTATCAGGTCTGTGTTTGCCTTTCTCTGGGAGCCTTCAGAGATGGGATGTGGAGCTCAGCTGATGCAGTACAACCCTCCTTATATTTCCTTCCTTTGGCACGAGGTTCCTCCTACAGCCCTTAACCATGTGCTGGGGACAGAAAAGCCAAAAACTCTCTGGCAGGGAGCTGTGACTCAGGAAGGGAAGGGACCTTCCAAAGCACTTTCAGTGTCTTCCAAATTCACCAGGCTCCACATAAAACATTTTTATACTGGAATCAGAGATGTGACCTTGTCAATAACTTAACTGAGGGACCAAAGACAGGCAGCTGAGTGCAGTTTAAATCTGTGTCATCCCCTTCCCTGGATGAAAACTTTGCCTGTTTTCTTTTGTGATCAGGCTGCCCTGCAGTTGCTGTCACTGTTGGACTGAGTTAATATCTCTCTTGCATGATCTTATCTCATGTCTTCAAGGCAGAAAAGCTGGTGCAATAGCACAGAAAGTCGTGGCATTTCCAGCAAGGCACCAGGTTTGCTTTGCTCAGCTTCCCAGGGTCTTGCTTGCTGTTCCCCAGATACCAAATGGAAACTTTCCTGAGTGTATAAATTACCTCTGGATTCCCAAAGCTGGTTATGGGTCCCACAGCTCACAAGGAAATGCATGGACCGTTGCTCCTTTGGTTTTGGTAGTTCTGTTTATCTCTTTGAAATGGACTTTAAAAATGAGACTTCAGCTACTGCACCCCTTTGGGTTCAAGGAAATGTGGACAAAAAGCATTTCTCAGTCTGGAGAGATTGATTAATCAGGGTGTTGTGATGAACTGGTTTGAGTCAACAGCTCTTTGGGCCTGTCAGTCAAACCTGTAACTAGGCTGGATCAGTAATTGCCCAAATCTGTCAAACATATTCACAATATTACAGGGTAAGGCCAGTAAACTACTTCTCATGTTTAGGACTAAATCAGAAGTGCTCTGCAGTTTCATTGTTTTCTGTACCTACAGAGAATTTCAGATTTCAGGTGGCCCATCAAGGTTTTGTTTGTGCTGTGGAAAAGGCAGCTTTTCCCCTGGGAACTCCCTGTGCACAGTATTTGCAGTTAAAAACAGAAAAATTGCAGCTACTTCTTCAGAAGAGTAAGGAGAGATTTTGACAACCCCAACCTCTTTCCTTACTAATATTTGTTATTCTTGCAGCTAAGGTAAGAACAGTTCACCTGTGAATTATAGAATCTCATCTTGTTTCAACCCATGGGCACCTTCCATTAGACCAGATTGCTCCAAGCCCCATCCAAGCTGGATTTGAACATTCCAGGAGTGGGGCAACCACAGCTTCTCTGGGCAAGCTCTACCAGTCCCACACCACCCTCAGCATCAAGAATTTTCCCCTGACATCTCATCTAAGTATCTTGTCCCTTAAAACCACAGTGCGATCAGGCTACTACAAAAAATGAGTTTAAAAAGTGTCCTCTGCTTCTTCCTTATGGTTTGTCAGTGACTTCTTTCTGTGTCTCTCTGCAGAGTTTATCTTCCTAGAGGGTTGAGAGCACCCTTGTCAAGCCAACAGAAAATTTTCTGGCCCATTTGGTGGTCCTTGGAAAGCAAGCAGTACCAAGTGGCCTTCAGCACTTAGACCATAAACACTTGCTGCTACTTTGAAGGCAGACTGACCTCTGAGGCTTTATCCAGATAATGTTGTGAAGGTTCTCTTGCATCAAATTGTTTCTTCATTATTTGAACAGATGATGGCAGCAAAATCAGGAGTTGACTCAGAGATACTCAAAATATCTTCCTAGAGCCACATCATATCACTGTCCTAATCAGAGAGTGGGCTCTGAGCTGTTCCAATCAGGGTAAAGCCCTTTCAGGGTAAGTAAATTGTTACTGATTGTCTTAATCTGCTTGGAGAAGCTCCAGATCTCTTCATTTCTGAGCAGAAGGAGGGGAGAATGCCCCAGTGCTGGGTGTGTGTTTGGGACAGCAGCAAACCCCACGGGCACTGGAGGCACACAGGAACAGTGCTCAGTGCCAAGTGTGGAGCAGATGGGAAGTGTGGATAGCAGAGGATCCAAGGGTAAATCAGCCCTTTCACTGCAAGGCCATGCAGAGCATGTCTGGGAGGTGATGATGATTTTATAAAGTTCAGTGGGTGGCAGCAAATTTCACCAAGATTTTAGGATATTAATTTGTCTGCAAATCCTCACCCATAATTGTTAATAGGTGCTGCAGAGAAAAGAGAGGTTTTTCTTCACAGCAGCCCCTGGAACAGCCTCTCCATTGCAATCAAACAATATGTGAGGACCTAGGGTACAAGACCAGAGGGATATGGAGGTAGAGCTAGTGCTTAGTTTGGTGTTTACCCTCTCAAGCCAGGGTGCCTCTCTCAGGTGTAGATAAAATCTGAAGGAGAACCAGGAGCTGCAGACTCCAGGTGATGGCCAGGCACTGCTCCAGTTTGCTGCTGAGTCCCACCAGTGCTGTTTTGCACCATCAGCCCCATGAAACCAGATTTGTTTGTCTGGGGGTTGAACTTGGTCTTGTGCCCATTTGAAATGCAGATCAGAAGAGGCCAGGTCCTACCACAGCCCACACCTTGAATCTGCCTATCTAGACATAAATCAAAATTGCTCCTCTCCAAAGAATTTCCCTTCAGTTTTTTAAAGAGTTTGAAATCAGCCAGTTTCCCCCATGCAAGCTAAAAATGGAGCTGCCTTCTCCACCTTTTGGTCTGCCCAGTTTATTTGTAGCTCCTTCATTTGGATAGACCAAGGTAAGCCATGTTCTGCCTCCTGCAAGAGTTTTTGTCTGTCAAACTTGCTTTCTTCTCATCCAGCATAGGCTCAGTGAAACCTTTTTGTTTGATTGCCATCATCAGGTGTCTGGGTCATTATTACTGAGAAATACCCACAGAATTATACCTGTGCTGAAGATGTTTGCAGCTTTTCCCTCTGTTTTCTTTGCTGGCTTTGTGTCTCCATTTGGCTGTAAATAGAATCAGAGAACCACAGGATGGCTTTGCTGGGAGGGGGCCATGCCCAGGGACACCTTCCACTATCCCAGGTTGCTCCAAGCCCCATCCAACCTGGCCTGGAACACTGCCAGGGATGGGGCAGCCCCAGCTTCTCTGGGCAGCCTGTGCCAGGGGCTTCCCATCCTCACAGGGAACAGTTTCCTCCTAATATCTAATTTAGCCCTGCTGTCTGTCAGTGTGAAGCCATTCCCCCTTGTCCTGTCCCTCCAGGCCCTTGTAAAAAGTCTTTTTCCAGCCTTTCCTCTCAGCAGAGGGGCTCCAGCCCCCAAATCATCTTGGTGGCCTCCTCTGGACTCCAGCAGGTCAATGTCCCTCCTGTACACCCCAGAGCTGGATACAACACATCCTGTCACTGCTGTCAGCTTTGGATTCACAGTCAGGAGATGAAGATGCTTGTTTATATTAGAGAACTGTTGTGAGTGCAATTAATAAAGCTGCGAAGCTGAAAAGTAGTTGAAGAGCTAAATATCATTATATAATGAGACCTCCTTCCCAGTAAATGATGTGAAAAATGATTTCTTGCAAAGAATAACAAATTGCTGTGGCTTTTTATCCTAATTGTAGATGCTTGATTCTAATTTGTTGTTTGTCATTTCCATGTAAATGAAGAGTCTTAGCTATAATTACCACATTTATGGCAAACAAGATACTATCATTTTCCAATGCTCACGAAGCACTGGCATGTTTAGAAATAGAAGAACTGAATAATTATCCCCCTTGTGCAGCTCTAGGGAGGGGTCTACAAGTCACTGTATCCAGCTCTGTGTGCCAAACAAGTCTTGCTCAAAGGCAGCTGATGCCATTAACTCTCTTCTATATTTGGGGAGCCAACTCAGAGACATGAAGTGACTTTCCCAGTGCACTCAGCAGTGCTCCAGCTGCCCAGATCCCTCTGGACAGCATTTTCTTGTCTTCAGTGTCACAACAGAAAAGATAGCAGAGCCATTGTTTTGGTTGGCACTGGATTTCCTGGTTTGTCCCAGTTATCCCAGTTCAGAGCAGCTGTGGCTGCCCCATCCCTGGCAGTGTTCCAGGCCAGCTTGGACACTGGGGCTTGGAGCACCCTGGGATAGTGGAAGCTGTCCCTGTCCATGGCAGGAGGGTGGAACAAGATGGTCTTTAAGGTCCCTTGCAGGCCAAACCATTGTGTGACTCTGATGATTCTCTGCTCCACCAGAATCTGCCTTTTCCCTTGCACAGTTCCCAGTGTGTGCAGTCATAAATCAGAGTGCTGAGGCTTCTGACCATGGGAGGCTGTGCAGCATCACTGACCTGACCCCACACCACAGGCTTGGGATGAGTCCACATCTGTGTGAGCTTCCTCCACAAAGGCCTCGTTGTGACACGAGCCCAGAGAGTGTAATGTCCCATGGAGATGGCAGTCCCCAGTCAGGAAAGGGCTGCAGGATGTCACAGTGACAAAATATGAGGATTGTCCTGCTGGCTTTCATCCCATCCCAGGCCCTCTGCTCCTCTGGCACCAGGCTGCTGCCAGTGTTGGGCACAGCATACAGTGAGGCCAAAGCCTTTGCCTGAGAGGTGGCTCCAAAAGCACCTCAGAATATTCCCCTGAGCCTTTTCCCCTGGGAAATCATTTTAAGGCAGCTGCCAGATTCTGTGGGGGGCCTGCCAGCAGCAGGGAGTGAGCACGTGTCCCCTGGAGGGGCTGTTTTCTCCTGGGAATGGATCCATCACCCTGGTGCCTGTGGAGGGATGATTCCTGTAGGCACCAAGCAGCCTGGAAGGACAAGAAGGATGTCTGATTGATGTTTCATTTCAGCCAGTGCTGTAGGAACACTTCCTGATGCATCAGATCCTGGTGCTTGGCTTCTGCTGGGGCCTGCTCTTAAACGATGGCCTCAGGGCCGTGCCAGGGCCCGTGCCCGTGCTGCAGGGTGGCACTGTTCCTTCCAGGAGCATTGCTGCCAGGGAATTCTCATTCCCAGCACTTTGGCTCCGTGCCCTGTGCCGTCACCTCCCTGTCTGCCTGGCTTCCAGGCACGGAGCGTTTCCTGGAGCTCAGAGCCTCAGCAGCAGCCTGCAGGTACCTGGCTCTCCTGTGACCTTCCTGCCCTCCAAGGAGTGCTGGAATTCCTGGACTTTTCCAGGGATCTTAGGGGATAAAATCTGCCACTGACTCAGCCATTTGTGGACAGAGGAATAAATCACTGGCAGTGTAAGCCCACTGTAAAATCACTGTGCAGCTCCTGAGATCCTGCTGTGTCCATGTTCTCTCCTCACTTGGTTTCTTTTGCCCTTTGCTCATTCCCTTCTACCTCTGTCATTTTCTGAGGGCCCATTCCCATAGGTGTACCTGGAATGTTTAAAGAAGCTGGGAATAGTTTTGGCAGAACTGCCAGAGGACAGGGTTAGATGGGATATTTGGAAGAAATTCTCCCCTGTGTGGATGGGGAGGTCCTGGGTGCCTGGAGGAGCTGTGGCTGCCCCTGGATCCCTGGAAGTGTCCAAGGCCAGACTGGATGGGTCTTGGAGCCACCTGGGAAAGTGGAAGGTGTCCATGGCAGGGGGTTGGAACAGGATGCTTTAAATAATGGCATCCTAAAGAACATTTGTTCCCCAAAAATCCCCTTCTACTGTGATTTAGTATTTGTACTGTCTTAGCTCCCAGAACATCCCACACAGATGGAGGTGTTACAGTAGGGGCTATTAAACTATGAAGGAAGAGGCTGTGACATAAGGAAAAGAAACACAAGTGACCAACTAAGCCATGATCTATTGTATCTTTAATATTCCCACAGCAAGGATGCAAAATGGAGTAAGAGATCAATTTACTTGCCCATAGTTATACAAGAAGTCAGGGACAGCTGTCAGGAACTTTAAGGCCCCATTTGGTGTTTGATCACAAGAAAATCGAATCACAGTGGGAATTGATGCTCAGTTCTGGATGCAGGGGGAATGTGGGATAAAACTTGTCCTGTTAGCAAACATAAGCAAGTTCATTTTCCTTTTGGGACTAACACTGGATAATGCTGCTCTTCCCAAGTATTTGCAGGAAAATGAGTCTCTGTGATAATCAGACTTTATTTTTAGCATCTAATCGATGCTCAGGGCTTTGTGGTTTAATTACTGGAATAATTGTTTGCTGAAAACACAGTCTAATACCTGTTTTTTCCTTCAAAGGTCAACTCCATCATTTTTGTTTCCAACCATTTAGTCCTTTATTGATCTTTATATCATTTCATGGGGAGTGTTGCGTCTTGACAGAGGAAATAAAGGCCAAAACTTGAAATAAGAAAAATAAAATCTTTTTCTTAAACACAAAAATAGAAAATCCCCTATTTCAGCCCTTGCTGCTGGCAAATCCTTCATAGTGTCTCCAGGAAATAGGATTTTGAAAACTACTTTTGTTCTTTATGGAAGGAAAAAAGCAAACCAAGATTCTTTTCCAATCCTGATTAGTATCAGACATAAACTGAAGCACAAAAAGAAATTTTGCAGCATAGCTGCTGATCCTTTAAAGTAGATAAGGCCATGGGCTCTGTCAGGAGGGCAGGAAGATCTCTCTGGTTTGCATTTGGAGAGGGCTGAGTGAGAAATGCCCTCTCCTCTCAGTACAGGGGAGTGTCACGTGGCTTCAGCTGAAGATTTGGAAGGTATTTAATCAAATTACAGCCACCACCGTTTTGCTGCTGTGAGATGCTGTTGGAGCAGAGGGATCCATGAGGTGCTCTCCACCTGCAGCATCTCCACCTTTTCCACTCCTCCCGTCACTGAGACCTGACATTTAGTTTTAATTTGCAAAAAATCTATTCTGGGAGGGGCTGTTGGGCTATGGAGCAAAAAATAGGCTTGGTGAAAAATGGGCATTATAAGGTAGCACAGGACCAAATTCCATCTTGTGCTTTTTAATAAATATAAAATATTTTAAAATAAATATATATATTATATTATATTATATTATATTATATTATATTATATTATATTATATTATATTATATTAATTATATTATATTAATTATATATATTATATAGAATATATATTGTATTTGTCCTAGTTTAGGGCAAATTTGGGAGAGAACCTCAAAATGGAGGTTATAATATATATAATAAATTTTTTAAACTATAACTATAACTGTAAATATAACTATAACTATAAACATATTTATAACCCTAACTATTTATATTTATATTTATATTTATATTTATATTTATATTTATATTTATATTTATATTTATATTTATATTTATATTTATATTTATATTTATATTTATATTTATATTTATATTTATATTTATATTTACCATGGAGCCTGCTGGCAGGAGCAAGGAAGGATTTCTCTTCCAGGGCAGCATCCTTGGCTGCTGTAAATCGGGAGGTGACAAACTGAGGATCACAGTGGCCTCAAAGCTGCTCCAAAAAATCATCCAGTAGGGAATCATGGAATCACAGAAGAGTTGGGACTGGAAGTGACCTCGAAGACCCTCTCTGTTCACACCTCTGCAGGGTGGGCAGGGACACCTTCCACTAGCCCAGGTTGCCCCAAGCCCCATCCAGCCTGGCCTTGGCTGCACTTGCTGGGGAAGGAAATGTTTCCCCTCAAGGCATCACCCTGTAAATCGGCAGAGCCATTAAATCTGATGGATTTATAGTCTGTTGTATTGTACTTCTTGATAACTTTACCAAATTGTAACTGTTTAGACCAAGATTATTCCACAGTGCTTGTCCCAGACTTTTTAAAAAACACTTTGGCTGAAGAAGTCCACCTGCTCCAGTGGATAAATAATGGGAAGAATAAACCATTAATAAATTTTTTATTGGAGACATCTGAGAAAAAAATATTTGTACAGCAAAATTTTAGAATTGAGAGTGCAGGGATCAGAAAAACTCTGATAAGAGGTTTATCAGGGATTTGGAAAAAGCACTGGAAAAGCCTGGAAAGCATTCTGTAATAGAATTTGGCTCTTCAGCTGCTGCTTCTAGGTAGTTCTGTTTGGATAGTGGTAGGTAAATAGCACACAGATGCCACCTTAAAAAGCTTATTAAAGCTGCAAAGTCAAGGCTCATATTTTTCATCTTCAGCAGGATACAGCTTTGATGAGGAGCCTCCAGGGGGACCTTAGAGCCCCTTCCAGGGCCTCCAGGGGCTCCAGGAGAGATGGAGAAGGACTTCAGACATGGGCATGAAGTGACAGGACAGGAGGGAATGGCTTCAAACAGTCAGAGGGCAGGGTTAGATGGGATATTGGGAAGGAATTCATAGCTGTGAGAATGGTGAGGCCCTGGCACAGGGTACTCAGAGAAGCTGTGGCTGCCCCTGGATCCCTGGCAGTGTCCAAGGCCAGGTTGGAGGGGTTTGGCACAGCCTGGGATGGGGGAATCTGTCCCTGCTCATGGCAGGGGCTTGGAACCAGATAGGTTTTAAGTTCCCTTTAACCCAGCCCAGGCTGTGATTCTCTGAAAGCTGGTGAATCTGGACATTTTCAGCACAGGAGAACCCCATGAGCTGAGGCAGGGTGGATTCTCTCTGCTGGTGACTCCTGTGTTGCTCCAGGAGCTGTGCCAGGGCAGAGGGAGGGAGAAGCTGATCCCACGTGTGCTCCAGCATGGAAATTGCCATTTCCATAAACAAAGTTTGCATTTCCTCTCCCAGAGCAGACACAGCTTTTGAGTGCAGTGTGATCCAGTAAATATTTAATCATACAACAAATTGTGACAGCCAGTTCTCAGCAGCGTCCTGCTGATGCCTTTTAGGATAATGGGAGGTTTTGTACCTTGGCTTGGTTTTAACATCTTGTGCCTGTCTGGGGCAATTGAGGGAGAAACAAATAGTGTGTAGATGTCAATATGTGTTCTGAAGGCCCCACAGAAGAGCTGAGTTCACAGAGAAATGCCAAGGCACAAGGGCAGTGCCTTTGCCAGCTTAAGCAAGGGGCTGCTCACTGTGGACAGAAAAAGTGGAAAACAGCTTAAAAAATGCAAGGGAAAAGGAAAAGGAAGAACCAGACCTAATGCCACAGGGAACAGAGTGTCAAAAGGGTTGGTAAGGTCAGGGAAGGAGTTGAGAAGCCCATTTTAGGTCCTGCTTTCTGGGTGAGCGTGGTGAGTTGTCTCCCCATCTCCATTTCTTTTCCAAGAGATTTGTGGCAGTCTTGGGTTGCAACCAGGCTTGGACAGGCAGGGAAAAGAGTGAAATGGAACAGTTCAGGAACCAGACAGTGCCATGGTTGCTATTAAAGGTCACTGGGTTAATTCAAAGCTCACCCAAGCAAAGTTTTTATCTGAAAACATGAATGGTAATTGTCAGTTTGACATTTGTTTGATTATCCAGCTGTTCAAGTCTTCTCGAGTTGGGCAATTCATGAATCAACATTCCCATCAGGTAGGTGTAGTTGTTCTGGAATTAAAAATATGCTGCCTTCCAGCCAGATGCCATTTTCTTTATTATTTATTTGTGCTAGTAAGTAAATTGAAAATTGTGCTTTTTTAAGGGAAAGGAGCTGATGCACCCTTGTGCCATTAAGTTGTCAGAGCTGAGCAGATGAAGCACGAAGCATTTCTGCAAAATTGTTCTCACAAGTCTCATTTGGGAAAAAAGTTCAACCTGTAAGAGAAAGGGATGAAATCCATAATGGAGCAGTGCAGGTTGCTTGGTATATACAGACTGATTGAAAGTAATCAATCTTTTCCTTATTTTTTACACATTAACCAGCTCTCCTTTGCTGAAAGAGTGCAGGTTTGGATTAGATATTAGGAAAAAATCCTTGACTGTGAGGGTGGTGAGGCCCTGGCACAGGTTGTTCGGAGAAGCTGAGGATCCCCCATCCCTGGCAGTGCCACATTTTCACCTGGGGGTTGTGGTGGAGAGTTATTAAAAGGAAAAGTGATGGATGAACCTTCATCAGTAGCAAGATGGAGTTCTGGAATGAAGCTGTAAGTGCTGGATTTGAAAACCAGGCAACATCTGCAGGGATGAGTGATAATGTGCCATGGAAAAACAGAATTGCTTTAACTGATGATTAAAAAGGAGGATATGATTAAAACAAGCTGATTAGATGAAACCAAAGTGACAAGACAAA